CTGTAGTTTTTTTTTTTTTTTTTTCTTTGCACTGCTGGCTTGGAACAAACTGTGGTGTGCACCTGCAGTCTGTTGCCAGGGGAGGGCGCCACTGTATGCTCTCCTGGCCCCAACGTTCATGTGCTGGTTTCTAAGATCTGCAATAATTTACTGCATCAGGTTCATGTTTTTACCTGAACATAAATAAAGTAACTGTTTGACTCATATTACCGTTTGACTAATGCTCTTTGCCATTGCTTTGGCATGTTGGAACCAGCTGGGTTATTTCATAGTTCTTGAACAGTTTTCAGAGGTTCCCCCAAAGCTCGAAATGTTTTTCAACACCTGTCATTCTGGATCACAGGACTCCACGGTGTCCTGGTGGAAATGATTTGCTGTGGAGACGGTAACCATTTACAGGCCGCCCGTTGGACATGGTTTGACAACAAAAGAGCTTAGCTTTAGATTTAACATTGCATAAGATGTGTGTTTGGAACACAAAGCCATTTTCCATTTTGGACCTCTGTTTGTAGAAAATGGTTTCATTGATTAAAAATGTAAAAACAAAACATGTTGGTTTCATCTGACGAACATCTCCATGGACTGATGTTTAAACGTCAACCTCGCTTCACGAGCTCTGTCTGCAGCAATGCCAGTGTTCAGAGCCACTCGGTGCAGTGTGAGGTGAAAATATTCACTTCACACTGCACCAAGTGGCACCAGTGGACATTCATTATGGAAATGGGGAAGGTTGAGGCCAGGATGACATAGACAGCAGAAAGGTTTTGTATTGATCACAATGAGCATGCTGCAACAACCTGCAGCTGTTTTAAATGACTGAGGGCATCAATCTTATATTATGGACAAGGTCAAGGACTGTTACAACTTTTGATTTCACGGCATAGGAAACGGATGTGTGCTTTAATATTTCTCCTGAATTACACTTTCCATGTTATTAGTTTTGCTGACTAAAAAATATTTATATTTGTAATAAATAAAAGAGATCTGCTCAAATTTAAAGGTAACCCTGACACTTAGGATATTTGTCTCTTTCAAAGCCTGACTTGAGTTGCCAGTATAGTTGCAGGGGTGGGCAATTCCAGGCCCCAAGGGCCGGTGTCCTGCAGGTCTTAGATCTCACCTTGGGTCAACACACCTGAATCACATGATTAGTTCCTTACCAGGCCTCTGGAGAACTTCAGGACATGTTGAGGAGCTAATTTAGCCATTTAAATCAGCTGTGTTGGTTCAAGGACACATCTAAAACCTGCAGGGACACCGGCCCTCGAGGCCTGGAGTTGCCCACCCCTGGTAAGGTCTAGAGTTTGAGTACATGGTATCGATCTCTTGTACCTCATACTAAAGTTTTGGATGTACAGTGCATCAATACTTCATTTGTTCCATATTCTGTCATGTTAGAGTCTTATTCCAAAATAGATGAAACTTGTTTTTCACTTCAAACTTTGACACTTGAGCCCGTAATAACAAAGTAGAAATAAGTTTGCTTAACATTCTTGCAAATTTATAAAAAAATATAACATGTACATAAGTATTCACAGCCTTTGTCATGACACTCAAAATGGATCTCTGGAGCATCCCCATAAGAGGCACAAGAGGACCAATGAATTGTGTGTAAACCTCAGAGACAGGATTGTACCGAGGCACAGATCTGGGGAAGAGTACAGAAAAGTTTTTGCACCACTGAAGGTGCCGATAAGCACGGTGGCAACATCATCCATAAATTAAAGTTTATGTAACCACCAGGATTCTTCAAACAGAAGCCGCCACATGGCAGCCTGCAGGGAGTTTACCGAAGGGTACCTGAAGGACTCTCACACCATTAGAAACAAAAACTCTTTAGCCTGAATGCCAAGTGTCAGGTCTGGAGGAAACCAGGCACCAATCGTCACCTGACCATTACCATCCCTACAGTGTGGCATGGTGATGGCAGAGAAACTGAGAGACTAGACTGGGTCGAGGGACGGATGAATGCAATATTATACAGAGACATCCTTGACGATAACTTGCTCCAGAGTGCTCTCGACCTCTGGACTGGGGCAAACGTTCATATTCTAACAGCACACTGACTCTAAGCACGCAGCGTCCAGCCTGTAGATTATTGCCATCTTGTGGTCGCAGTCAGCTATTGTCTCTGAAGACTGCAGTCTCTTATTTTAGCCTCATAAGAGACTGCAGCTCCCCATGTCCTGTAAACCTTGACTGGACCTGAGCAAATTGAGAGGTATTCGGGACACTGAATTGAATTGAAGACCGCCTCGCTTCCACGTGATTGATGACCTCGGTAAACTTTTCCTTTTTTCGAGTTTACATTTGAAGTCTTATTTTTAAAGCAGGTGCTTCAGATTCTGCGATTTATAATTTAATTTAAAGTGAAACGAATGGTCTCAGTGAGACCCGCCGATGTCTGTCTTCAAAGAGATGGAAACAGCTGGACTGTGATGTCATTGAGGTGCTGTCCGTTTTTTATTTACAGTCTATGTCCTGACCCTAACTATAGCTCGCTCAGGTGCGGTCACGTGGGTAATCTTTTCGTTATGTCCACAGCTGTCAGGTTGTCATACTTCCTGTAATCAATATATTGGCTTTGACATCGACTGCTACATGAACGTGATCAACTGTAATCGCCTACTGCAGGATTTTGAACAACAAAGAACTGCATCGTATTAAAAACCATGTCTGCTCAAAGGAAAATCTACCCCAAAAGAGAACTGATGGCAACATTTTAAACACATTTCTTGGCATAATTCACTGATGCTCTTAAAGCTAAAAAAGCAAGGGATTTGAATTCATTTTAAAACAGCTCGAAACATGTCTGTGCTGTTGTGATTTGGGAGGCCTAAGTAACCCTTGCTTTCAGTTTTATCTATGCACACTTTTTTGTTACAGAACTTTATGGATTAAGTTTTCGGAGCATGCCAGCCAAACTCGATCAGCATGATTTTGCAGTATTCAAGCCCAGAGTGCATTATCTCCCTTATGGTAATGCCGCCTGTTATCACTCGAAAGCAGCCAATCTTTTGGCAAAGCTGATGAGAGTTTTCTCACCAACCCCTCCTTCTCTGCTTTCCCTGTATAATGGCCTCCTCCCTGCCTCCTTGGAGGCCAAACTCCAAGAAGAGGATATGGATGATGAGACTCTAAATGAGGAAGGTGCAGTGCTCCTCTTCACTGTTTCTCTGCACAGTGAAGGCAAGCCAGGAGAGAGAGTGTGCATGAAGTTGGTGATGAGGAGGAGGAGGAGGAGGGGGTAGCGGAGGATGTGTGTGTGTGTTTGTGTGTGTGAGAGAGAGAGTGTCGTCAGCAATCATCGTCACTGTGACTCGGAGGCAGAAAAAAGCAGAGAGCCCTCCCCTTCTCCTCTCGCATCCCTACTTTCTCTCCATCAGCCAGTCTCCTCTCAGTCATTCTACCCGCGCACAGCTGAGCCTCAGCATCCAACCAGCCTGCCTCCTCCTCCGCCCCTCTCTCGCTCTCTCCTCCTTTCACACACACACACACATTTGTCATACACCTCTCAGTTGCTGCTGAGCCCGGTCAACAGGAGCAGCAGCTCTGAGCAAAGACGCAAAAGAAACACACAACCTTTTCCCCCGCACCCCCAACCCCCCCACAAACAAAGAAAAGAAAAGAAAACCAGACTAAGAGGATCAGGATGAGGATGAGTGTGTTCAGTGTGCCGGCAGTTCCTTGCTGCCGTCCCACAAAGAACGCAGGGAGCTTCACGTCCCCCCTGCTTCTCACCGTCCTGCTCCTGACCAGCGGCAGCAACAGCAGCAGCATCGGGGCCGTCCCCTCTCCGTTCCAGCTGGCCCCGGACACCCCGGCACCGGCCGAGCCCACCCCGACCCAGGCGACACCTCGTCCGGACCCCTGCGAAGGCAGACCCTGCCTCAACGGGGGATTCTGCTTGGCCCTCCTCCCCTCGGCAGGCAGGCCAGAGGACATCTGGGAGTACGCGTGTACGTGTAACCAGGGCTTCACTGGACGCAACTGTGAGGTATTTAATTTTTGAACCTTTTGCTACCTGTGTTGTCACCCGATGGACTGTGAGCAGTCCCTGTAAGCGATGCTTTTGCTGGAGAAGATTTCACATACTTAGTGAGCAGGAAGTGGAGGTCAGGAGTAGCCGGTGCAAGTTTGGCAATTTTGTCGGTCATGTGGAGAAAACTGGCACCAGTTGTGTCACTTTCTGTAAAAGCACGGTGGGAAAATGTAGTTTAGTTTGGTTTAGTGCGCATTTATGTTATTATCACAGAGACCCATAATTGTTTTCGGTTGTGGGAACTTTCACTGCTATTTTAGGATCATAATCGAGGCTTCACCAAAGATGACGTCAATGACAAACCTGCATCATGTGTCCGTGTTATTTCTACGTGCGCCTTTACACTAGATTAGGCTGAGGGTACACTGCGTTGTAGTGCTCCCCGCCGTTTGCCAACGGTGATTTAATCAAAGCATGTGCTATCGCCGAGACATGGAGACGAGTGCTGCGTTGCTGTGGCAACAGGAGGGAAGAGCGGCAGCAGTGCGATGCAAGCGAAAACTATAAATGTGTGTATTTTTATCTGTACCATATATAAAGCGTATATAAGTAGTTTATTATATGTTATAAAACATTATTTTGATGTTATTTATGTGAACTGTAAAGTTACAGTTAACATTTATCTGCTGCACACTAGTGAGCACGTTCACTGGGGTGTAAACTCAAGTATGGATGAATTTATTAACACCAGGGATGCAGAGCCACACTGAATTCATTAACTACATCTGGATGGTGATGAATAAGAGAAGTGCTGTTTTTTTTTTTCACATATTCCTGAAGATGCTCACGTCTGTCTTTTAAACCAGCACAGAGCTTTTATTAAGGTAAACTGAGAGCCCACTGGAGAAAGTGTCAGGAGCAAGGTTTTGTTAACATGGCATATTTAAAGAGTTGTTTTACTCCACTGGAAGACAGTTTTGATGAGTGACAAGCTGTTCGCTAGCAGACTTTAACAGAAGCAGATGCTCCTGCCTGAGCCCGGTCTGCTGAAGGTTTCTTCCTGTTTAAAGGGAGTTTTTCCTTCCTACTGTCGCCAAATGCTTGCTCATAGTGTTTCTGTATTATTGTAGGGTCTTTACCTTACAATATAAAGTGTCTTGTGGCGACTGTTGTTATGTTTGGGGCTGTAAAAGTAAAACTGAATTGAATTTAAATGAACAGGACAGAAATTTTCCTCTATTTTGCTTTTCCTTGACGTTAACCTACACTTCAGCTCCACCTGTGTACTCCTGACTAAGCCCTCGTTCTTTTATTCAGTTTGGCACATTTCTGATTTTCGCAAAAATCACGTCTGCTGCTGGATTACACGAGCTTCATTTCGAAGCTTAAAATGAGCGAACTGTAGCTGAGCATCTGCAGCATTAGGCTCAATAGGCAGCCAGGCTTCTGAGTCATGCTGGGGTGAAAGAGAGCATCCGCCAGCGGCAGAGAGGATAAATGAGTCTGCCGCAGCATCACGGAGGGGAAACAGCAAGGTGACTGGGTGAACCTCAGCAGAATCACCAACAGGTGGCAGCCATATCCTCCCCCTAGTGTTAGCACCTTTGCATGCTGAGTGCTTCCTTACAAAGCATATGTATCCATGTATGTACGATAGAAGACAGGCGCTAGCAGGATCTAAATAATTTAGTGGAGTGTTTAGCAAGGGACACGATCACTGTCTCCTTGGCTGTCCTGGTTTTAACTCTCAGAATAGAAAGCATTTTTTATTTTTACCTCTGCAGCCTGCTTAACTGTTACTCTGGCCCACACGAACCGCAGACGCCGGTGTCATCGCACCACCTGAGCTGAGGCTGGACATTACACCCACTGTGGGGTGACAATTTAATGCAAAGAGGAGAACGCACGACTGCCCGAGCACTCTGCACAGTGTTTTGTTGTGCAGGACAACAACATCCTCTTATGCGCCACAGCTCAGGCCCGGCACAAGACCCGAGCCGGGCCCAGTGGGGAATCATTGATTTTTGCGCTCCCCTGTTGCTTGTTTCTTCTCCATGGAAACTGGAGCAGCAGTCAATTGAGATTTAGTAAATGACCTGACTGGCTGAGCACAAAGCTGGTTTGCATCTCACGTCCTGTGCATGCGTCAAACCGCAGATGGTCGAGTGAGAGAGGGGGAGGAGAGGCTGAAGAAAAGAGACAGGGCAAAGCAGGAGGAGGACAAGTCATATGGTGGGAAGACGTAGTGGCCTACGGTAGCGCTGTGCCATACTGCAAATTTTGGTATCGATCCAATACCGAGCATACAGGGCCAATATTGCCAACACCAATGCAGAGACTGATGCTTTTAACTTTTAAAGGCAGCTTAAGTAGGGAACAGCGGTGTGTCATGATTTATGAGATGATGAACGATCATCAATCTGCCAAATCTGCAGATATTTTAATGACCAGTAGCACAAGTCGATGGTGTTCCACAGTACACGCATAACTGTTTCCAGTGTTTTAATTCACAGCTGTAAAGAACTTCTACACAATGCTATACTTCCTCATTCACTGCAACACGTTGCTGCTGTGCACAGCAGGGCATGGAGGAGGGGGCGGAGCAAAGTGTGCCTGCATGAGAGGAGCGGTGTTTGTCTACTTTCTGATGAACGGGTGCAACGCACTGAACTTAGGCGAGTGAAACACAGCAAAATATCGATCCCGTCACGCTAGTATCGATCTGATATCTGTAGCAGCATTGGTATCGATCCTATCGATATTTGGATCGATCCGCCTACTCCTAGCTTAAGAAATGAGAATGAAGAAAGGAGAAACAGTGACAGAAAGCTATGAAAACTCCACACTTTCCTCCTCTTTTAATCGAAATTCTACCTCCAGCCTGTGACGCTGCTCACAAAGCTGAATCTGTGAAACAAAACTTGCACAGTGTGCTTACTTTTAAGTCTTTGTTGTGCCTCGGGATATTTTGCGACATATTTTAAGTTCTGCGGCTAATCCTGCTTTGTTACTTACCTCCCTGGCAGTGTGTATACTGCTCTAATCAAAGCAGACTAATGCAAACCACAGCAGTGGGCAACATGGGAAAAATAAACCCTCTACGTGTTTAACTCTCTGGGTTTAATATTTGCCTGTACCTTTTTTTTTTCCTGGATAGCGGCCTGTAAGCTATCCTGATGGAATTTACTGCCACTGGCCTTTCTGCGAGTTATTAGCCGCTCAGCCGCTCACTTATTCATTACTGAAGGGCCTGTTGTGCACCCTGATGGATTTGCTAGCTTGCTCTACAACACAGTAGGGCTGTTACAGCACCAAACAACCATCCGTCATGAAGCAAATTCACGGAGCGCTTGCTGCATGGGTTACTAAGCCAGTCAGCTACTGCATATTAAAGCAGTGGATCATGGCAGAATTTGCAGACTAAACTACAGCCCTGGCATTATAAACACAGAATTCATTTTTATTTGCTGCTGTTCAGAGAGGTGATATATGGCACATGAGTTATTAGCCTCTACAGCAGGCAGGTCTGCCCCAGCTTAATAAGCTCATATGAGCATGTCAGCGCTGCGAAGAACTAGCGGCGTTTCAAGTCTTTTGATGATGATCTTTTTAGATCTCAGCTGGAAGATTTGCCAATCATTATTCTCTCTCATTACCCACTCATGCTTTCTCTGTTGTGCTGTTACGTAAGCATAGTTGAAATCTTCAGGCTTCTTGCACCCTTTTCTAACATCTGTGGCGTCGTGGGCAGATCTAACCAGTGGAAGGTTAGCTTAACTTAGCATGCAAGACTCGAAACATGAGTGAGAGCCTAAGCTGCACCTATTCTTTATGCTGGCTCACTACATCCATGTACCTTCTAATCTTGTCCATCCTGGTCAGTCCCAGTGAAAATCTTAACACCTTCAGCTCTGCCTCCTGTCTGTATTCTATCTAGTTTCTACTACTCTCTCCAGAGCATACCTCCACCTCTCCAGGCTGTCTTCCACCTGCTCCCTACTGTCACTACAGATCATAATGTTGTCAGTTTATGGACTCAGTCACTCATTTTGGTTCAATTAAATATATGATCCAGGTTGTATATTTCAGAAAAGAGCTATACTTATTGGCTCATGACTTGTGATTGACCAATGAGCCCGCAGTTTCTCTTCTCACAAAGATGACAAGGCTGAAAATGCTCATCTCGAGGCCTCACATGTCAGTAGGTGACGTCATGCTAGCTACAGCTGAGTCTGTGTCTGTCATTAGGTCAAAAACTTTTACTAAATGTTCAAAAACCAGCGTATGAACATAACAAGTAACAATTTTACTAATGTGATTGTTACATATAGCGTCTTTCTGTGCTAGAAGACAAATAAAGCACTTCTCTGGTGCTCTGCTCCGTGTGTCATAAAGGAACAGACACGTGGAGCAGAGCAGACACCTGCACAGTGGGACAGGTAAGACAGGTAAGTAAAAAGACAACTCATTTTGTTACTGTCAGTGCAATAAAAATGCAATAATCAGCTGTCACTCTGACGAACAATGTGAAATAACCTGCTGTTATATCATTCAGGTCATATGCACATATGCAGTTATACTACTCAGTTTTGCATTTATAGTTTGTATAGTTGTTTGCATAGTGAATTGCGGTCACATTCCTTGTTTTTGTGCACAAACTTGGCCAAATAAAGATGATTCTGATCCACACAGTGGGGTTGCAGGCAAAATAAATACATTTCCATATTCATAGAATGAAAAATATCGCCTAAATATATGTAGAATCAGAAGCTTTTCTAATGCGCAAACAGATTATTTTCAGATATTACCTCTAGAGAGAACATAAGAAAACAAAAATCAAAAGAAGAAAGCACAAAAACAGTCCAAAGAAGTAACTAAACTGTAAAAACAGTACGTTACTGGTATAAATAAAAGTATTCAAAGCTAATAAGAACTATTTCTTGTTAATTCTGTTTTGTTCTACAAATTATTCTACTGGAATAAGTCTTTCTTCATTCACCCTAATGTAATTTTTC